CTGAGGTCCTTCACTCGTCTGAGCAGGAATTGAACTCACCATCACAACCTTAGCACTAGAACTCCTTGTGGGAACAGCTGTCCCTGGGGAAAGAACCCCAGAGGGGACGTCTGAGCTGTGAGCTGTGAGGAGCAGCCCTGGGAATGTCCTCATTCTTCCTTGGCCTGAGGAGAACTGAACCCAGTAAGGGCAGGACCCATGCACAGGATGCCCCAGTGGCCACAGTCTTAAGGGTACACTCGGTATGGTTTGTGGTATGAGTTTTGCAGTCTTTGCACTTCTAGGTTCAGCTGTTGTGAGGTATGCTGCTCAGCCCCATCTCTTTCTCTTCATTCTCTTACTCTTATTATTGTCATTAGGAAAGAATGCTGGAAGAGTGTCCATGTACACAGGTCTTAGACAGTGTTTCAGTCTCCTCACTAAAGTGGTCTGATTTTATCTCCTGTTAACAGCCTTTCCCCTCAGATCTTGGCTGCTTAGCTTTGCTGGGGGATCTCATCCTGGCTTTCCAAGTACAGGAAGCACTGCCCAGAGCAGCATGGGTGGCTGCCTGGTTGCTGCTGACTGCATTCTGCTGACACCACCGCTGATTCTGTCTTGTTTACACAGATCCCACGGGCAGTTTGTACCTCGGTCCTTGTGTGACTATCCATCAGGGCTTCCTTCTCCCTCAACTACAAAGGTCTCATGAATGGGGGCTGTAGGGTCAGGTCTGCCTTGCACAGGCCTGGCATGGCACGGGCCTCAGGGGTTGGGTGGAAGGATGGGGAAACGGAGGTGTGGCAGAAGCTGTGCCTGCACCTCCCTGGCTGTCAGGATGAGCTCTATACCATTTCTTCTTGCTTAATGGACAAAAATGATTCTTCATATCTTCAGAGGCTCATCCTCCGGGCACTTAAACACTTGATAATACGGTGGCACCACATCTAAGATTGGAGAGGGCTGTGAGATTTATGTTCTCCAGTAGACGGCATCTCGTTGAGAGCTGACCCATTCAGTGAAGGAAATGTTTCAGAGTTAAAACAATGAAATGATTCCTGAGAGAATGCAGGTCCGAGACAGTTGGCAGCCAGGGACACTGCTCCTTTTGTCCCTGCCATGGGCCTCACCCCCTGGTGCTGGAGGCAGTGAGGGAGATGGGGACACAGAATGGCTGGGACCGCAAGAAGGCACTGGGGAGGACAGCAAGTTCTGTAGATGTACCTGGTGCACTGCACGGGGTGCCTCTTCTGACCTTGGCTATCACAGGCTGGCTCTGTGCAACTGACCAACATTATACCTTCCAACTCCCCATGGTCTTCTTACTCCTTCTTCAGAATATGGTGGATGTCAGGTCACTGCATGAGTCATTGTTCACATCTGCACCATTTGTCCTCAGGTGCCCATGGGTGAGCAGGGTGATGTCTTTTAGGACAGGATGTGAGAGTTGGAGGCCAAGACCATAGCTGCTGGAGGTGCACAGATGAGGTAGATTTCATCAGGTGTCCAGGACAAGCTCTTCTCTCTCTGACCAGTTTCTTTGGAGAAAGTCATTTTAGAAAAGGCAAGATATGGGTGGCTCCATAGTGTAGTGGTTAGCACATCTGCTTTACGTGCAGAAGGTCCTAGGTTCGCACCCAGGTGGAGTCACGGATCATACCCTGGCTGTACCAGGCCCCGGGTGCACGCTACGAGCGTGTGGGAGGAGATGCCCCACCTTCAGAGATCCAGTTCTTAAGGGGAAACAGCAACATCCATAGGTCAGGGGTAAAAGTGGGAGGAGGGAATTAAAGAAGGGGGGGAAAAGGGCAAGATGTGAAACTTGACAGAGGTGGTTTGTTATGGCTATAGCCCTCAGCAGGGTTAGACAGCTTCTGGACGTGCTAGTTGAATACTTAGTGGCCCAGGACATTCTGTCATAGATTTTAATAATATTACTAACATTAGTAGTTGCCAACTGGTGTTAGAAACAGCCCACACACTTTTTGAGACCGGCTCTGTCGTACAGTTCAGAAGCCAAGGCAGAAGGGTTGAGAAGCTGCCCTAGCTCACATAGCTGGGAAGGGGCCCAGAGCTTCAGCCCAGGTAGCTGGGTCTGGTGTCTGATCTAAGCTGTGTCTCTCTTAGGGAATAAATGGTCAGGTTCGCCTTGGATGGGGCAGGACAGCACAGGTGTGGAGGTGAATGAGGTGTACCCTAAGCGGGTGAAGACTTGAGTAACTAATCATGCTGGGCATCCAAAAGTGTGGGGGTCAGTCTGGCTGAGGGACAGAAAGACACCATGAGGTG